ACACGACGCAGCGACGAATGACGAGAGCGGTAACAAAGGGACACGACGGGGGCCGGATTTCACGATTTTTAATTAAGAGACCGGTCCCATTGGGTTACCACGGACACGCCCGGCATGCCATTCGTGTCATCGCTTCCCGACCGATCCTCGGACTCGGTTTCCTGAATTATTCGGGTGTGATCGCGGAAAGGCCGGCCATTCAATGCTCCCTTCGCTCCCGTGCAAGCGTTTTGGTTATTACGGACGGCATCGGGCCGAAAAATCTCGGGACAACTGACGGGAAACGGGAGATACGCGGATACGCGTCTTTGTGTTACGTGGTTTCATTGATTTCCACTCCATTGTAATGTCACGGTACAACGTTAATTTGCACTCGGGACTTGGAAATATTATTTTTCCATTTGTGAGCAATTTTCGGTTCGTGGTCGCATTCGCTGTGGTATTTTCAGCCTCTGACTGGTCACGGTATCGAAGGATCGAGATTAAAATTCTGCCTGTTACTAATGTCTTACATTTCTACCTCCCTTGACTCACTGCTGTTATGGTAAAATTCAATAGTGAAGTAAACTCTACATTCCAGCGGTGTGGGGGCCATCCCTTCCCCTGCGTTCTGTCTTTGAAGACGATTTTGACTCTAAACAGGTCAGTTCTAACCTTATGCCCGTTCAATAAAGATCTGTACAGTTTTTCTACAGTTTTCCACTGTCCCTTGCGCTATAACCCCTTTAACAACTGCTACACTAAATATATAAATCATACAGTGTCCAAGAAAAAAGGAATAATTACTGTATATAGAAACAGACAAATTTGTGGGAATATGAATATAAATGGAACGAGACTAGGTTTCGGGTTAAGTAAGACAGGCTTCGAGATAGTTTAGGTCCATGGAGGTGGGTAAGGGTGAAAGCTTGCGAAAGTATCAGATGTGCCCTCCATATGAGCACACATGCCAATCATCGAGCAATCGTCAAGGGCGAAATCACCATCAACTTAGGCTCAACCCCTTGATATCCGATGAGCATAACGTCAGCTGACCTGAGTAACAGGATACACGACACCAGTGATCATCCTGACCAGAAAGGGGATCGAAGATTATATTAAAACAGTGTAAGCTTGCAATCGGCCTTAAAACGAGGCTTTTAAATACAGCAAACTTTAAACGAGTTAGAAACTTGAACAAAAATGGAGATTAAACAGACATCCTCGATGTTAGTGACTCTCAACCTCTTTTAACGTCCAACTAATACGTGATAAATTCACGTGTACCTGTATTTTTCATCAGTTAGAGTATGTTGATTTCAACGAATATACGCGTAGTAACATCAGGTTGAGAGTCCTGCGAGTGAGCATACACAAGACGTTTTGGGGTACAGTCCTGCAGGTGAGCATAAAGAAGAAGTGTA